GTTTCCCCTGAACTGTGGGAGGAGCCTTCGTACTTTCGCAGCCCCGCCCATTCTGCCGAAAACGGAGGTTTGCGAAAAGGGGGCCGGGCTTCCCTTTTTTTTTTCCCCCTTTCACGAATAAGCAACTGAGCTCACTTATTCGCTGTAAGTTATCGGCACGTGAATGCACCGGGAGTCGAGCTGTTTGAGAGAAACTTGACTTTCTTATATCGACAGAAACCTCTCTACAGAAAGGACAGACCGGAAGCCACAACATTATTTAAAGCACTGCTTTATAATCATTTATGCTTTGTGTTTTCAGGAGCTAACTGGAGCAACAAATCTCTCCCTCTCCCTCTGTCTCCTAGAACCTGGCTAGAGATTCTTCTGAATCTCAGAATTCACTAATTGGATCTGATGCTCAAAACTTGCTTGGTGAAATAGTTTGTGGTAGCTAATGATTTAATTTTTAAAAAACATTTATTATATTTCTAATCAGTCCAATAACTGAAGTTTTCTGGGCAGATTACAGTATACCAAATGTTATTAAGTGTTTCTTTAAAAATAACCCACCCACCATTCAAAAGAAGAGAAACAGTATGCTTTAGTGAAGAAGGAATAGAACCATGCCATTTTGTTATTTTATCTTCTTGTTATTTCCCAAATCCAGATGTGCTTTTGTATCAAAGATTGTTAACCAAAAAAAGTGAAAAGGAAATGAAGCCTGTCGTGAGAACTGTGGATTTCATTCAGGGGTATGAGATGGGAGACAGGATTCTACATTTTTAAGGGAGAGGAAGGTAAATTAGAATAGAAAAATCTTTATATTCATTTATGTATCTATTAGCTCACTCGTATTGATAGGCTGCTGCAATCAGGAGACTCTGAGAGTCTTAAGATTTTACATTTCCCCTTGTACTAGGAGTTTTGAAGGAGAAAAGTTGACAGCTAAGCTTTCTGGAAGCTATTTCCATAGAAAGTTGTATATATATATTTTTAATGCTGTTACAAGTCCCATCAAGTGCTGGATGATCCTAACTGCTGAAATTATTCTAAGTAGCTCTATCATACACATGCATATTTTCTTGGCTGGTCCCTCTGAATGTAATCTGCAGATATATTTACTTGGCTGATTGATACTCACAGAAACCTTGACCTTATGAAAATAGTAAGAGTTATTCAGATATGCACTCATAGGAGAACTTATGAAATGGCAGGTGCCATTTCAACACAAAGGGAAAGGCACTTCTACTGGAGAACAAAACCATTAATCTTCTACTAGTGGATGTTTACTGACCTCTCTATTTCTATGGTGGGCAATACACATAGGCAACACTCACTCACCTACTGTAGCTGGTAACTAAAGTCAAGGAAGCAAATTCTACAGTTCTCAAAAGACAGGAGAGGCTAATGGAAAAGTCTGTTTAATAAGAGAAAAACCTGAAGGGATTCTAAACAATCCATTACAATCGGCCTAATTTTTGTGTGTTTCTCCATCATTCTTGACTTCATACAGGTGAAACTCGAAAAATTAGAATATCGTGCAAATGTTCATTTATTTCAGTAAGG